TCTAAAGCTAGTACATCAAAACCTATAAAAATAATGTTTAAAATTAAAATATTGTAATTACTAATTAACAAACTTCACAAATAAAATGAGCTTAGATATCGAGAAAACATACTGAGGAACAGCAAGGTAACAATGCCAGTAGTCAACTATATAATTTTACATTGAACATGAAAATACCCTTCTTTTGATGGTAAATAGTTTACAGTTTAATTGCCAGATGGAAAGTCTTGTACACATTTACATATGTAATTGTTTATAATTTTGAATTGTCAAAGAAAATGTACAACATCAGATTGACATGTATTTTGCAGGTGATCACAGCAATATGATATTAGCTATCGTTAACTGAAATAACTTTCTTTTTCAAAATATAAGTCTTCTGGACAAATATAAGCTTGTGACGTATGAATCTGGTGATAGTAGGACGGTGGTGGATTATATACTGGTGAAATTTGTGAAGAGAGAAAACGAAGGACGTGCGCGACGCAGAGAAGAATGTGTGACCAGCACAAGCTGCTGGTCATGGACTGGAGAATTAGGAAGGTGCGCAGGAGAAGAGTAAAAGCGTAAAGCTTGCTTGGCGGAAGTTACGATCGAATGAAGGGAAGCAGTGTTTCCGTGACGAAATTGCGACATTGAATGTTGAGGGTGAGACGGTGGAGGAGCTGATGGACGTTTGGAGAAGGGTGTTTTAAAGGCAGCGAGAAGGTATAAAGGTAGAAACAAAGGCGGTGTAGTAGAATGAACAGGCAGGTGGGGAACAACGAAACAGTAAAGATTAAAAGCGAAGAAGTTGGTATTTAAAGGTGGAGAAAGTCGCGGACTGAAGCAGATAGGATCGATTACATCCGATTCAAAGCAGGGCTGTGCTGGAGGTTATACCCAGAAAGAGCTCTCGTAAAAAAATGCAGGAGAATGGACGAAAAGCGTTGTTTAGAACTTCTAGAAGGAGCAAGAAGGAGAGGAACGATATTTGGGTGCTCCCGGCGTGTTCACGATGGGGAGTTGAAGGTGTTATTGGAAATAGGTTAAAGTGTGGAGGGCGTACTGTGACCGCTTGAATGGGTTCTGCAGTCTGCGAAGGGGACAGCCAGCGATTGGGCCAAATGGAATAGTGACTGCTGATGAGTGCGGCTCTGCGCAAGATGAAGAAAGGAAGGCGACGGGACCTGAGTGAAGTGGGTAGCGAAATGTTGACAATGAACTATGCGGAGAGAGTTGTGTAATGTAGCGAACGAGGTTTTTGAGGGGCCTCAAAGATGCCGAGTACATGGAGAAAGGGTTCAGTGGTCCTGCCACAAAGGAAAAGGAGCAGCGACGGTATGTGGGAATTACAGGACTATTGCTGATGGAGCATGTGCTGGAAGATAGTAGGAGAGTGTTTGGAAAGTGGTTGAGGGTTCGGATGGGGGAAGATGGATGCACGGGAGAACATGGATGTGGTGGGTGGAAAGAAACAGAACGTGGTGGTAGATTTGGAGAAGGCGTTTGATAGAGTTCCGAGAAAGGTGACTGAGTACGGCGCTGGGCGTAAGAAAGGTGTGACAGAGAATATGGTTCGGGCAGTTATGACTTATGAAGGTGAGAGGCGGTGGTTACGGAGGAAGGTGCTGAATCTGGTGTTTTTGAGGTGCTGGTGTTCATCAAGGTTCAGTCTTGTTGCCAACTGTTTGCCGTGATGGATGTACTGACAGAGGAAGTGAGAAGAAAGAAGGATGCTGGTGTTTGTTGTATGCAGATGACATTGTCTTGGTGGCGGAGTCGAAGCAGAAAGTCATGGAATGGTACCGAGAATGGAAACGGCATGAAGCCGGCGGAATGGGGTGAGGAAAGAGATGGAAGGTGGAGGTGGAAGGGACAGTGGAGGAATGGAAAAGGAGTGGAATGGATAATGGAATGGTGGAAATGAAATGGTATTGACAGTATGGATAGGAAGGGACGTCGAAGTGGTAAAAGAGCCTGACAAACGTTGAACTGGGTGGACGTGGAGTTTGGAAGGTGCATCGGTTTAAATATTTGGGCGGATGGGAAGAATGATGGTGGAATGCGACAAGCGGTGAGGAACAGAGTTCAAGCAAATGGTGGTTTTAAGTTGTCGGGAATAAGAATGGAAAGTCGACTTCTGTTGGAAGAGAAGGGAGAATTGTATAAGGTATGTGTTAGAAGTGTTTTGGATATGGAGCAGAGGCAAGGAAAGCAGAGGATCCTGAGAAGATTATGTCGACGGAAAGGAGAATGCTTTAGATGATGTGGTGTAATGTTGATGGATAGGACTTATGAAGAGATTAGAGAAGAGTTGGTGGAGGTACGAGAATTGGCAAGCGCCAGCCAGGAGGTGGAATTTTATGTGGAAGGAGGGAAGGAAAAGAATCGTAGAACGTGCCTGAAGATGAATGGATGGAGTCCGCAAACGAGGTAGACTGGAGGGATGGATGGGGAATGGAAGGTATGGTATAATGAGATATGGCGAGAGATAGAGACGTGTGGCGTGGAAAAATTCATGGACCGGTCAACCCCCCTGGCGGGGATTAATACTGGCCGGTATATAAATGTTGTTTGTTTGTGTTTGTTAAGTCTTCTGGACAAACTTAAGTTACTTAGTATTTAAAACATTGTAATTCAGAAGCTTATTTGTTATTATACAATCAATATTCGCTCAAGGTTACCTTAACTTGTGGACTGTTTCTGTCAGTGGGTGTAGCTAACTAAGCTAATCATATCACTCATATGTGCATGCTATTGTTAGTTTTGTATAGTAATTTCTATCGGTAAAATAGTGTACTAGAGTTGATGTTTGCTCATTAAGATGCATTTATGACCAAAGAGAAATTGACAAGAATTTTATTTATCTTTTCAAAAAGCAAGCAAAGTATACGTCTTCTAAAAAGCTAATATAGCCTTCAATATATAAATTTAGCCACTGGATTGGCCTTATGTATTTCAGTATTTGTAATTTTATAACTTAAGTGTAATGTGTAAAATTACTTACCACTACCATTGTTTTCTTCCATTTCAGCAATAATGCGAACCACGCAACTTAATATTAAAGTTTAAATTGAATTTAAAAAATTCAATCAGAAGAGCATACACTTTACAATAAACGATTGAGGATATCCAAAACTTCGCGGATAGTGATTGCGGTAAATGATGGATTGCGTGGTTGCGACCAGGCAGGCAAGTCACCAGGCCTGTTTTTTGAATGGATGTCAACGAATTTTATAGAGTCAATTTGAGGCTATTTTCACAATTAGCGCAGAGTTAATTTAAGGAAGAGACTGGGTTGATGTTACTCGTATGTAATTTTGTATGTTACTCGTATGTACCGTATGTTACTCGTATGTACTCGTATGTTACTTCGTATGTACTCGTATGTACTCGTGTGGTGTTTTTAGTCACGATCGTAGCAAAAGGTGATTTGTTTTGAGAGAGAAATTTGGAGTTAAGTAGGTCGGAAGTCTGCAAGAGAAGTAAGTGTGTTTTGTTTGTTGTATTTATGTAGCAAAGGCCATTATTTTTGTGAAGACAATTAGTTGATTTGTCTGTTGTGTTTTCTCAGGAATTTTACTTTTTCTTAAATGTTTTCAGTTACACTTCATTGTTTAGATATATTTTTATTTAAACAATCTAAAAAGGAATAAGTTTAACCTAATTTTTAACCCGATTTTCGATTCAAATCGGAAAATTTTGAAATTTCGTGTTGTTGACTTGCGATGTATAATTGATAGTAATGACTGAATGACGGAAATCAGTTGATGTGAGATAAAGTGATCTCTTGTGATATTGATTGTTGAAATTGATTGATTATGAATATTAGCCGAATCTCTGTAGAAATATAAAATGAACTCTAACGAAAAGTGTGTAGTAGATAGAACAACTTTCATGTTATCAAGCGCAGAGAACTATGTACTAATTTGTTATTGGGCATTACACATAATGGTAAATGTCTTAAAAAAAAATCTTTTAAAGTGAGTAATAATATACGTTTGCTGTTTCCGGTTGAACAATAGAAAATTATCACAAATAACTGAAAATTTACTATGGAATTTTTTGAGATTGGTTTACTTTTGTTTTATTATTTCGAGTCTTAATTTCTTGACCTACATGCAGTAATGTAATTTTTATTCACCGAGAATTATACCCACACAATTACATATTAAACGAAGGAATACAATTTCTGCATGTGTCGAATACAATTTGCCTGTTTCACTCACAACAAAGTCTGGAACGAGATAAAGCGAAGGTAATAATTGCATTGAACGCCAGCAAAATTTGACGTTTGAAATCCACGATCAAATTTTGCATTTTGGTCTAATAAAATTGCTTATTGTATTCGTTCAACACATGCAAAATTCGACGTTTGAAACAGCCTAAGTTACACCCACAAAAATGACAAGTTTGACAGCTGATGACAATCATTTATATTGGATATGCAATGCTTTTGGCTTCGTTAACGGTGCCTGTGCAAGTGGGCGGTCGTCGTAAGCGTAGTGTGATAATTAAATTAAAGAAGCAAGCAAACTCACCGCAATTTTCTTCAGGCGAGAAGGTTTGATGCTTTTTTTATATGAGTCATGTGAGACGCAAAACATGACAGAAATCCATTGTTTAATTTACTTTGATTGAAGAAAAATAGTCTCGATTAGCAGCATGTTGTCGTCCAAGTAAAACCACGAATCTTTAATTTTAATGGAAAGCGTTGAGAAACTTTTTATGTTTGTTTATTTATGTATGTATGACAGGAAAAATGAATAGCAGCTTTGCAGCAAAACGTGTAACTTGGTGAGATAATGGCTTCCACATGTCTCATTTTGCTTACTTTGAACATAACATTTTTTATATTTAGTTTGATGAACTTCTAACAAGCAATGGGGCAGAAACAGGTACCGTTTTCAAACTGTGAATTTGTTAATGGAAAGTACAGGTTTTCTTATGCGCCTTGAAGTGTCAAATTATTATTATGGTTTGCCTGATGAGATGAAGACAAGGAAGAGCTTTGCTGAAAACGTGAAAGTAAATTTGGAATGTGATATATATGACGTCGGATATTTCGTTTTGTTTTTTTGCAAACATAACTCTATATTTATAGGCAATGTTACAATTCGTTCGTTGAAGTTTAGTGAAGAAGCCATTATCGATGAAGTTAAAAGCGATATGGTAAGTTTATGTCATGTTTCTATATCTTTAGATAATTCTTGCCTGATGTTTTAATCAATCGTATTTTAGCAGACAGATATAATCAACAACAACTCGATTTTCACGTTTGCCAGAGTCAGGAATACTTTTAAAAAAGGTATTGTGATGAAAATCATCTCGTAAAAATCTATTGTATTTAATTATTGGTGGAAGATTTTCTTCGACATTTCTACCAGGTGCTGTTTCAGTTCATTGAAAGTTCCGTTTATCTGAAATATTTGAAAGAAACCATTTGAAATATGGACAAGGAGAAATACTCTGAGGCGCCTTGCGCGTTTCGCATCAATGTTCATTCAATTGCTTCAAGGTAGTAAGAATAATCGCGATTATTTAAGCGTCAATAAACTGATTTATAGAGTAATAATATGTAATTAAAAGAAGAAATTCTCGTTGTAGTTTTGTCACAGCCACAAACGAAGAATGTTTACGAAGCTCAAAGCCACATGTTGTAAGTACTTTGTTCATTACTCATTTATTAGCGGAAAGCTAAGCTGTTATGAATAACGCAACTTAAATGATGCTTTATAATAACGAGAAAAATATAAATTTTTAACTGAAACTGAATGTGATCTTTAGAAAAGTGTAAAGATGTTTATAGATTTCATCATTGAATGCGCTTTCATGGCTTAAAATATAATCTGAAACTGGTTTCAAACACATTCTTTTTCTTTAAAAGATTGTTGAGCAGTAAAAGAAAATATATGGTTTACACTGATTGAGAAAGAAGATCTGTAAGGCTGCCAATAACATGCGGTTTCTCTCTTGCATAAAAAGAAATGAACAACTACAATTTTACAAGTTTCGTTTTCACACACGGTTTTTATTGTGAAATATTCTGTCTAATTCGAAATGTTGTCCATCTACAAGAAAATTCTCGGTAAAAGAGACTAAACACACATCAATGCTTTACAAAAAGTCAACTTGCAAGATTAAAGGAAAGCCGTTGTTGGGGCGTGGTACGGATTGAAAATTTTCAATTTTATATGATGAATTTAAACTTGTGCAATGAATATGAATGAATTTGATTGATGTTTTGCAATAAATTTAAATTGACGTTGCACTTTTGCAGCAACCTTACGGTGGCTATTTCTTTCTTTATATGACGTGTTTTCTAATAAAGTGATAAGTGTCGTCGTCGTCTGTACAATTCGCATTGTATGTTTGTAAAATAAAGTAAGTTTGGACTGTGATTTCAAAGTATACTGTGAATTTGATGATTTATGCAAAGTATTGGTGGTTTTCTTGTGACAATTATGATTGTTTGATTGTTTGTCTCATTTCTCGTTTTGCTTCCTTTGCAAAATAACTTTTTATATTTAGGCAATGTTACACTTCGTTCGTTGAAGTTTGGTGAAGAAGCCATTATCTTTAAAGTTGAAAGCGATGTGGTGGTAAGTTTATGTTATATAATCTTTAGATAATTCTTGGCTTGATGTTTTTTCAATCGTATTTAGCGGATATAATCAACAACAACTTGATTTTCACGTTTGCCAGAGTCAGGAATACTTTAAAAAGGTATTGTGATGAAAATCATCTCGTAAAATCTATTATATTTAATTATTGGTGGAAGATTTTCTTCGACATTTCCGACATTTATTCAAAACCATTTGAAATATGCAACAATGGACAGATACTCAGCGGCCTCTTGCTCCATCCTCAAAAAATACATTTATAGAGCAATATACATTAAAAGAAGAAATTCTCGTTTTAGTTTTGACACCGCCATACATGAAGAATAATGTTTACGAAGCGCAAAGCCACATGATGTAAGTAGTTTGCTCATTATTACTTATTTATTAGCAGAAAGCCAAACATTTACACAATGCTTTATATTTACGAAAGAAATTTGTATTTTGAAACTGAAACTGAATGTGATCTTGTGAAAAGTGTAAAGATGTTTATAGATGGTCACAAAGATTTCATCATGAAACGCGGCTTTCATGACTTTAATTAAAACTAGTGTTTTCGGCACACATTCTTTTAACCACACATCATTCCTTTACAAAAAAGTCAACTTGACAATGGAGGAAAGCCGTTGTTGGGGCGTGGCAAGGATTGAAAATTTTGAATTTTATATGATGAATTAATGAATATGAATGATTTGCCGTTTTGCCATGTTTTTTTTGTAATAAAGCGAAAAGTGTCGTTCGTCGTGTGTACATGTCGCATTGTATGTATGAAATGTTAATTTTTTCTGTTTTTGAACTATAAACAGCAAAACGAAGGCTTTTAAGAATATGTTGTCTTGTAATAAAAATACACACACTTTGAAACAGTTACTGTTGTTGTTGGTCATTAATTGATTGTTAATAATGAAACATATCATTTAATACTATTTCGCTTTTTAATTCCTGTTATTTTGATTATTGTTTCAGGTGACAAGCTGATGAAAAAGCTTGAGTATCTGTTCAAGGATTATCGACGGTGGGAATAATTATTAAAATGTTTTTTTTTCTCATTCCTTTTTTTTTTGCTTTAGATGATCATCGTGTGGTACAAGGCCTGCTCCTTTTCCCTCCCTTTAGCTAGGTGCGCTGAGAGAAGGTCCCTGACAAAGGACGGGTTGCGTGTTCTTCGGAGCTCGCTTTAACGTAACGTGGTCATGTCGGACTAGAGCGCCCCATTAGGCTCCCGCAATGAAATTTTCTGATAAAGATACATTCTTAGATAATTAAGTCAAGCAGTTAAGTTAAGAAAAGTTCCTTTGTTTGTCTGAGGGAGCAAAATAAAAGGGTCTATGTTATTGTGTGTAGTTGGTGTCATTGTAAGGTTTAAGCTGGTGAGTTTACTAATGTTTGGATAAGGTTTGACGAGGAACCACCTTAGCCTTGAAGGTCAATACGGGGACATGTATCTTTGCCAAGACGTCAACAAATCCATTAAGCCCACTTCCATCTCAGCAACAATGGAAGAAACTTGCGTTGCTGAGGTAAGTTTGCTTGTTTGCAGTTCTGTATTAATTATCGTTAATTGTATGTTGTTTTTTCAGCTCTGCTGGCTGGGTGGCGTCACCGCACATTGACCCAGCTACCCAATGACTTCCTGAATTTTCATTATGTGAAAACTAAAAAAGAATGATTGTGCATGCATGAAGGAGTATTGGTACCAACCAAGTAAGGAGCATTACAACTTGTTACTACTTGTACCAAAATGACAAAAAGATTTATTAACAATTGTGATTTTTCTGAACAATGATGAAAGTGCATGTCAACTTCTTTAACAGAAGGGGAGTTAAAAGCGGTCAAATTGCAACTAAGCATTTGTGGGGAGTGCTTAGTTAACAATTTCAATTTCTGATTTTGCCATTGTATGTATTATTTTGTTTTGCTTGTGAGTAAGTAACAAATTGTAATACTCAAGGTTAGGTAGGAAATTCTTCATTGACAAAGAAAAATTCTCAACAATGTTAAAAAATTTAATGTTAAAATTTTTGATTACATATTTCGACAATGTTTCACTTCTGACCATATAATTCCAAAATGTTTCATTTTTTAACACATGTTTCGAAAGTATATCATAAAAAACATAAGGCGCATGCGGGGCCACGACGAGCGGGGGAGGTGGTACTGTCACACGCCGGACTATGGATATACCTCTCTCTCGATCCCGATCTTAGTTAGGTTACGGAATAGGCTCCTTATCGTGCAGGCCGAGAAGATAGAGAAGAATAAAAGGGAAGTTGTTATTTCTGTATTTCAATTATATGACTGTTTTGATTTCTTCCTAATTGTATTTTGTCTCTTTAAGCACTTTTTGTTTAAGCTCATGCAAAATGAAGAAGGTGATGGATTTCGTTTGTGTGTGGACTCCCATAAAAGAAAGAAGAACATGCTGCAATAAATGAAAGTAGTTGTAACGTCAAAACTGGTTTGTTGTTGTAATTGTTTATATGAGTTTATTTACATTCATGAATAATATACTTGAGATGATATTTCTTTTTCTGTGCTTAATCATTTCAGATATGAAAGCAACTAAAGCTGTGATGCAAATCAATAGTGGAGCTAAATGACAATGAGGGGTAAATTACTCTGACAAAAGCGTACAAAGATTTCTTAGTTTGTTGTAATATTATGGAAAATTTCCAGAGAATTTATTTCAGTGATATTTTTTTCGTGTAGAAATTATTAGCAGCTTATGTACTGTTTGAAGAAAGAATTATTTCATTTCAACATGTTTTTTAAAAACATTTCTAACTTTTGAAAAATTCCCAGGAATTTTTATAAATTGGTCCGAAAATATGTGTTTTATGACTGTAATGTTTGTTGAATTTTTGGTGATTTTCACCAAAAGTACGATAATCTGGAGTAATTTACCCCGCGTTGATGACAAGAAGCAAATGGACTAAAATACAGTGAATTCGTTTCATCTGTATTTTAGTCAATTTGAGTTTGAAAAATCTGTCAACATCTCAGCAGTTGGACTAAATTACTATTTCAATGAAATGTTGATGTTATTGGGGAAGAAACTGGGCTAAGTCTTAAGAGATTATGGACTATAGATGAAAAACAGAATTGGTATGTTTTGTTATTGTCTCTTCAGATGTTTTTTTTTAAGTACGACAGTCGCTGCCATGATTGACGTTTTTCGCTTCTTGGTTATGTTTTTGATGCCTGTTTTTTGAGAAAAGAAGAATTTCTTCCGAAGTGTTTTATGCGATTTTAAACCAAGAATTGAACTTCTGTTTAAGTTTCCCTCGCACAGGTTATTGAAGCGTTGTTGCGAATGGTTTTAATTCGCAGATATTGCTTTTGAGATGACTCATCGTCAAAGATTGTAAGCAGTGGAGTTCAATGTAATGAACATTGGTGCGCTACAAATGCAAAAGAAGTGTGTTAAAAAGAAGTAAAATCAATGGACTCTGGCTGCAAATGGAGTAATTGGGAAAAAATTGCACGTTATGTCAGCAGATAATGGACAACAAACATGGTATGTTTTGTTAATTGATATGCGTTTAACGGCACACTCGTTTGAGATGATTTTAAAATTCTGCGTCGATTTTTGCTGCTTCGTTATATTTTCCATCTAAAATTTCGTTGCAGTTTTTGCCTTACGATGCTTGTTTTTGATGACAATGCGGCTTCTGCGGAACTCTTCAAACCATGAGTTGACTTTGTTGTGTCAATTATTGAAGCGTTGTGTTGTAAATGGTTGTAATTTGCAGATATTGCTTTTGAGATGACTCATCTTCAAAGATTATACATTCTTTTAGTAACATTCTTTTTTGCCATAATTTGAAAACCGACGATGAGCAATTTGTTGTATATGTTACAACCCAATTTAAACATGAAAAATCTTCATTTTTTTTACTTCATCAAAATGAAATATGTTTTTGTGTTTAAAATCTATTGGAAACACATTCTATTTTCAGATGGCGATACAAGTGAAATTGAAGTGAAACGATGATAATAATGCTGTTAATGGTAATTGTTCAAGGAAAACCAGCCCAGAATTGATGTTCAGTGAATTTGCTTATGGTAATATAGTTAAGATTATAGTTTGGCTCCACTATAAGTATAATTGTCAATCTAAATAAAGTTGGAAGTTCCCCTTCCTTCCTACTTTATTTAGATGAAGTTTAAGTTAAATGCTTTGTCTGTCAAAATTGCCCCACACAATTTTGATAGATAAATGCGATAAAATAATATTGTAAATTGTCTTTTGTCAATAGTTTAAAGTAATTATAATATCTGTAATGATCATAATGAACCCGAATATGTTTGAAGTAATATGAATAATTTAAATATTTACTGAATAATTTGTATAATTTGATGAATATGGTGACCTATAATATCTGCAGTATAAAGTAAGTCAAGGGGGGCCGAAGACAGTACAGGGAAAGCAGTAAGTCAGGGGGGCGAAGGCAGTACAGGGAAAGCGGCAAGCAAGGAAGGGGTTTGAACATTGAGTTCATAAAAAGGTCAGGGTTTGAAGCATTAATAAACGTAAGTCGGGGATGAAATGGATGTCAAATAAATAGATGGCGGCCATCTTGTTGTGACTACATTTGATAATGGCTCGGTAGGTGTAATTTGAGGCTGAATTGCGTTGATATTATGAAAAATTCGCAATATTACTTCAGTCGTGAAGTGTGAGGACGGATTAAAAAGTGTGCATCTGAGAGTTATAAGCAGAAGCGAAACTATGATTTAAAATGACTACGACGAGAGGAGAAAAGGTAACGCCGCCATGTTTCACATTGTTTCTTTCAGTTGTTTGCTTTGTTTACACCTGACAGAAAAAGTCGTCGGTGTGTGTTTGTTAGTAAATAAAACAAGTGAAAGTTTCAATGAACATATTTCACAGGTTTATAGGGGAATGACTTCACATTTTATTCATTTCATTTGTTGAACTTCATGAAGACTAAATATATAAGTAATATATTATTAATATTGAAATGATACTCGTTGATTGAAATCAGGAGGAGAAAACATTTGAAAGCATGGTGAATGGTAAATGAAATGGCGCGCAAATCACTAACTACCGTGAAAAGGCACCACATTCCAATAAAATTTATTTAAAATGATAAATTGAAAAATCGTCTTTAAAACACGTTTTCCATCAAAAACAACAGTAAAAAAAAATTCTTAACTGTTTATTATTATTTTACTGTCGTTAACCATCACAAAAAAATGTATAAAAGTCAAGAAATTGAAGAAAACACTAAGATTTATATTACATTTCTCTTAATTAGCAGCCTATAATTTAAAACTGCACGGTAGAATTTTTTGAAACTTGGCCAGAATATATAGATAAATGTTGTAGAAAATCATCAACAAAGTCGGATGACGAATACGCTTTAATATGATCTTTAATAATTAACTATAGAGCTATTTGTCGAGAGTGGTGCCAACTTCACAGTTTATACCAGAGTACATTCTCAAGGAGTATTATTCCTTTTAAATTTTGTGCTTCCAGATTTTGGATATATTTTAGACAATATGAATATCTATAATATGGCCAAGTTTAAAAATTCTACTTTGTAGTTTTTTCTGTTCTGTTAGGAATGAAAGAGGATGGATGAAAGAGGAAGAAAATCAAGGCAGGATTTGTTAGTTTTCTTCCCAAGTATTTATTGGCTTTAAATTAGAACAGTTTTGTCTCAATAAGAGTCAGACTTCCCTATAAAGTATCCCAGTTTCGTCTCAACAAGACACAAACCTCTCAATTAAGCATCCCTGTTTAAGCACAGCAAGAATAGAATAAAATCTTACACTAAAAGGGTAACCTAAGGGTAACACTTAAATCTTTCAACTTCATCATTTTCTATTTAAATAAATGTTTTTTAGGAATGAAAGAGGATGGAAAAGAGAAGAAAACAAGGCAGGATTGTTATTTTTTCCTGAAATATTTATTGGCTTTAAATTAGAACTGTTTTGTCTCAATGAAAGTCAGACTTCCCAAAAGCATCCCTGTTTAATCTCTGCAAGATTGGATTATCCCAACTTTACATCCCTCCATCCCTTGAAGATTTATTTCCCACCTACAAACATCACGCTGCCCTTACTTGATTTTTATCCCTAATACCCATGTTCTGTGTCTTTAACTAACACTTAAATCTTTCGAACTTGATCATTTTCATTTAAATAAATGTTTCTTTTTAGGAATGAAAGAGGATGGATGAAAGAGGAAGAAAATCAAGGCAGGAATTGTTAGTTTTTTTCCCTAAATAGTTATTGGCTTAAAATTAGAACAGTTGTGTCTCAATAAGAGTCGGACTTCCCATAAGCATCCCTGTTTCATCTCCCATGGAGTATCCCAACTTTACATCCCTGTTTCATCTCCTTGAGATTTAATTATCCCTAGTAATCATCCCTCAAGCCTTACTATGGTTAATTTTCCTACCAATGTTCTGTAATCTCTTAACTACCACTTAAAACTTTCAAACTTGATCATTTTCATTTAAATAAATGCTTTTAAAGAGGATGGATGAGGAAGAAAAACAAGGCAGGATTTGTTAGTTTTTTCCTAATATTAATTTGCTTTTTTAAGTTAGAACAGTTTTTCTCTCTATAAGGTTTCAAACTTCATAATTAAGAATCCTGTTTTCATCTCTGCACATTGAATATCCCTACACCATGTCATTCTAAGATGGTGTAATATTTCGAGTTCTTAAAGACATCATCAGACTTATTGACTCATAAGTCTGATGATGTCTTTGGAATAAAGACAAGTATTACATCATATGTCATTCTAAGTTCTTATTTCTTTTTCTTACAGCAAAAGTTTGTTTCTTTTCAAAAGACGCTCAAAAGATATCATCACTATAATATAAGAATAAATATATTTTCTTGTCCTTCAATATGTACTTTCTACATTCGAGTTATGAACCAGTTTCTTGATTTACATACTTTTAATATTGACTTTTCACTGCTTTTGTAACACATGTCAACTGCTGCTTACAGACAGTTAAAATGTTTCGATATTTCATATGTACTTAAGTTTTCATTTTGAGCAAAGAATGCCTCATCATTTAATTCATTGGAAATCGTTTTGCAGGTATTTCATCGTTTGTTAAAGCTCATGCAGCAGAAGCTCGTAATGTTGTTCGTCAAGCTCTTGCTATCTTGACTCCAGCTGTACCTACAAGAATGGATGATGGAAATGTAAGAAAGATTTTGAATTGTTGATTTTGTTTTGTTATTTCTTTTTTGAGGAAACAAACCGTTACGTTTTGTTCTGTTCGCTGAACTGTTGCCGCCTTTTAAACAGATGTAAATCGATCATGAGCGCCATTCAAGCTCTTTGTTTTCTTACTGTTTGTATTTTATTCCATAGCAAATGTTAGCCCACTGGACGAAAAAGATTATTGTTGAAGATGGACATACGTTACCTCAACTTGTTCACATGCTGTTTCTTGACTGTTTTCATTGTTTTGTTAAAGAGACACGATTTTACTTTTGTAAACTGATATTGCGATACTGAAATGTGTAAAGTTTCAGTTTTTAATGAACACGGACGTTTCCCTTGCTGGTATTGCGTCTTTTGAAGTGCCATTAACAAAAAGTGAGATTGGTTGAGTTAAATCTTTCAGTCGTCTTCAGATAAACGAAATATTGTAATAACCATTAATGATTTCCAGAGTACTTTTTTTTAACGGCTTAGCTCACATTTATGGTTTATACAACTGAAATTTTTGGCCATCGGAAATTGTGCTTAAAAACTATCGTACTGTTGTTTTTTAGACAGCTCCTAGTGCGTCATTATAAAGTTTACTATCCTGTAAGAAATCATCTCATTCAACACATGATCTGCAATGCAGAAGCTTGGATTTACCAGCAGTGTGAGGATCTATTTATTATCACATAATCTAGTTTTTGTATGTTGAGACCTTTTACTTTCTTTAGGCTACAATAGAAAATCGCAAACTTGCTGTTGATCTGGCTAACGTTATTATTGAGTGGGAGATAAGGCGAACGAAGGAAGAGCAAAAACAAGATTCTACGGAGGTAAATATTTATTATAGCACGCTTTTTTACAAGTGAACTTGTTTTGAATTCTGTATAAAAGTGTTCTTGCAATCATACTTTTGTCTGTCCTGAAAGTGGAAGAAAAAGAAACTCCAACTGTATGTGTTGATAAACAAAGACTTATGCACAGTTTATTTATATGAATGATTTTCTTTTTTCTTTGTTGATGTACAATATTGAATGATCAATTTTTGTTTCTTGTGATGAGCATTTTTTAATTTCATTCATTTAAGGGAGCAGTGAAACGAAGTGCAGAGGAAACTGCTCAAAATCAAGAAGCAAAAAAAGCAAAGATAACAACACAGGTAGAGCTACACATTTAACTTTCATGCTGAAGACAAGTCTAAATATACTCGTATAGTAAAATGTGCACGCAGGGTTAATGTGCATGTTAGGATGTTCTATTGCGACTTAAAATATCCTAATACATATAATGTATTCTCCTCAGGTTTCTGTACCAAAAGACGGAAGTCTTTCAGCATCTCTACGTGCTCCTGTTGAAAAACATCATGCTGATGCTGTTGTCAATTTTTTACTTCGAGTTGCTTGTCACGTAGGTGATCTTTAAGATTTGCATATTGCATGTACGCGAGTTTCTAGAAAACAATTGGCAATTTGTGAAATAGTAGTTACATAACGTTTTAATGATAGGTGAACGAGTCGTCAACTACTGTGGGCTCTCCAGGAGAAGCGTTATCAAAGAGATGTTTTACTTTTGAAAACTGCTTTGAAGCCTGGGTTTTGGCAAGAAGTTTTTGGCATAGTTGATGTCTTTCTTCAAGCTACTAATATGTATAAAATATGTTTCACCCCCCCCCGGAGCGCACCTTTGAAATCACGTGCTTGTTAGATCTCGGGATTGTGTAAGGATAGCTTAGTGCAAGAGAAGATATTGCTCTGCCTTCGACATTATAGAATAAAATTGTAATTGTGTGTTTTGCTCTGAAGGAGTGATCTCAAGTTAGCGTGGCTTGATAAATTGTTCGTTACATTGGTAAGTATATGACGTCAGTGCATTGTTCAAGCTTTTAGAAGACTGAGATTGACTTTAAGAGATCTATTTTCATTTGATTGAATATAATCATTGTTAAACTGGTTTGTTTAAAAAACATGCTGTATACAACATATAAAATGAAGAGTTCATGTGTATGATCTTTCATGGTCGCCTGTATAAGAAGATATCACATATATAATGTGTTATGTTTGGTTTTAATATTTAGGATCAAACTCCTGGAACAAATTTCAATAATGTTTGCACTGGTTTGGAAGTTCTAACATATCTCCTTACAGTTGTGGTAAACCCATCAATTCCTTTTTAATATTTGTTACTCGTTATTTTATTAATATCCTGAGACATCTTATTCTTCTTTAAAATTTAAAACTTTTGACAAACCTTTGATGAAATAAACGGTCAATTATATTTTCGAGAATTCTATATTTCTTTATTTTAGCCTCGTGAGCATTGTCTACAATTACTTAAACCATTACAACGTGGTGTTGTGGCATGTATGACTTGTCAAAATATCAAAGTTATCAGAGCTGTTCATACATTTTTAGTAAAATTGACAAGTCTCTTTCCCCTTGAGTCAGGTAAACAAATTATTCTGTGGTTTTGGAGGTTTTTTGTCTTGTCATTTAAATTTTATGTTCACTTTGTGTCCGTTTTTAACAGCAACAAACACCGACAAATACGAGGAGCTTGAGTTGTTATATACAAACCTTGGGAAGGTTATTTATGAAGGACTGAGTAATTATGCCAAGTATGTTCGCTCGTTTGTTTTTGTGAAAATTACTAAAGAAATACAACTCTTTGTTCAATGTATTTGGAAATTACGTTTTGTAATGTAATGAAATGTTATAATAATTGTAGAGCATTAAACAGTTGTACGTGGGATTCACAACAAATACTGTACAAAGTTGAATACAACTATTCATCCTATTTTGCGTACTCACTATTCATCCTGGATGAAAAAGGTCTGCCACGCCAAGTTGCTAGCTACATCCACTCTTCAAGGTCCATTGCTGTCTCTTAAAGCCTGCCTTCGAGCTGCCCGTCTTACAGACAGGTATGCGTTCAATGAAAATTAATTTTCTGCTAAAGTTAAAATACCCAAGAGAACATATTTGTATATACTGTATGCTGTATGTATGCTTTTGAATTGTCCAATCTGTCCACAAGAAACACGCAACAAACGTTTTAAAATTATGTTAATTGGATATTTTGTTTCAATGTTCAGGCTTATCAATCCGTGTATAAGAGCTTTACAGAAAATGCATAAGGATCATATTGGTGGATCATCAGCCATGATATTGCAACATTCCCGACCAATTAGAACTGATAACGTCTTTATTAGAACAGATCGAGTCTTTATTACGAAAAAAATACCAATGTCTTTGTAATAAAGACGAAGTATCACTGGTTTTATTGCCAATCAATTTGAATAGATAACGTGAGAGCGTGTATATGTATGGTTAGCGATTTAGCATATTGTTTAATTTTAGCAAAACAATGATTCGCAATCGTTTCTTCCATGTTTTGCAATTACTTTGGTGTGTTTTATTAAGTTGTTTTTTCTTGTCGTTACAGGTGATATGCTTATAACATGTGTTGATCTTGTCAAGTCTCGTCTTTGTTCCATGGATGCAGAAGCAAGAAAATTGTTCATTTTCATTCTTGCTCAACTTATTGAGAAATCGCCTGTAAGTTTTTCTTAACGTGTTGTTACAATACTCATGTAATAATTACTCCAAGGTCCGTGATTATTTTATGATCTGGCACCCATAACTGTGCATGGAATTCACTTTTGATTATTTTAAACTAAAAAGATTTAAAATATTTATTTAATGTAAATTAATAACAAATACTTCAGGCTCGACCACAGAATGATCTTTTTTGACCATGCCAAGACCGTTTTTATTTGGAAAAGGATTTGAAATTTTCTCATTTTAAATGGTGTTTCATTAATCTTGTGTTTCATATTGAAACAACCCATTTCACTGATTATTATAGTCCACTTATGAGTTTCTTGAGAAAAAAAGTGTACAATAGCATTATTTCTTTTGTTCACTTGTATATACCAAAGGATGCCAAATTACTAAAAGGAATAACTAAAGTTACGGAAGAATGGATCAAAGCTAGAGCTGTAAGTGTTCGAAAATGCTCTGTATAATTACATATTTGC